CCAACATTGTAACGAGGGAGTGGATTATGATTGCTAGGAAGTTTCGGCTTGTAGTATAGTGTTGTGAAGTTTGCCACCTCCTCGCTTAGACTCGCCTCTGCAATGGAAGCCTCAATTCTGGCTTTATTTGTACATTTCTTGTGAAGAGTCTTTAGACATCTCTCGATTGGATAGCACCACCGGGCTTGCAGGCCCCCCCAAACGTGCCTCGGATGGGAGGTGCACAATCAGATGCTGCATGGGCAAGAAGAAGCCGGGTGGAAAGATCATCTCTAGCTTATAGAGCAACACAGGTGCCGCTTTTTCCAAGTCCTGAGCGACGGTCCGAGATATCTCCTTGGCACAAAGCTGACAGAAGAAAAAGCTCAACTCTGCCAGCACTTGCTAGACATGGTCAGGGACATAGCCTCGGACCATCGCCGGAAGAAGCCGCTCAATCCATATGTGGTAGTCATGACTCTTCATCCCGTTGACTCGTAAAGTGCCTAAGTTCACTCCCCTGCTCAGATTCACTGCATATCCATCTGGGAACATTAACGTCTTGATCCATTTTAGTACTTCCCTCCTTTGATCGGGTTCCAAGATGAAATTGACCTTAGGTCTTTTCCATTGTTTGTTTCGGCCACTAGGAGGCCGCATCTCTTGCTTCGGTCTATCACACAACGTCGCTAGGTCCACTCTAGCCTTAACGTTATCCTTAGACTTGTCAGTGTTCATGAGAGTTCCCCAAAGTGCCTCGGCGATATTCTTTTCGGTGTGCATTACATCAATGTTATGTGGCAGAAGAAGGTCATCGAAATAGGGGAGCCTCGTCAAGCCGGACATATACACCACATAGTAATGTAACCATCAATTGCATCTACGCGGTGTTCCTACTCTCTAATAGGTGAGGATAGGTCCTAATCCCACCCGCGGATGCGTAGATGAGGTTAGTTTCCATGCTCTGCTCCCTATCCGAGAGAGAATTTCGGTAGCACCTCCCCGCTGTTATCCTGATGCACGTCCTGCAAGGGAGAGTGTGTATCCGGAGAACAATAGGAGGTGATGCCGAAACATCATCTCGGACCAAAGCGGACCATGGAAACTAACCCATCTACGCATCCGCGGGCTGTCCAAAAAACATAGACAATCCGAAACAGAAACAGTCGCAGATATACAAAGATCTGTATACCTCCAACCGTATCTCTTTCGGACGGGAGACACCTAACTAGGTTACGCAACCAAAGACCACATATGGATAGAGGGGTTATACCTAGGGTGCCGGTGAGGTCAGGGTAGTGGGGCGGTGGAGAGTCGATGCAGTGGCGAGTCGACGCGGTGCAGGAAGACCCACAGCGCCGACGAAGACGATCGGGGTCGTCGAGTCCCTCCCACAGGTCCTCCTACAAAAAAGGGCAAAAATGGTTAGTGTCAACTCAAAATTTCGACAGCACCTCCCCTGCACGGGGAGGTTCCCAAAACCTGCAAAAAACATGGCACGAAGGCCAACAACCACCAATATATCAAGAGGAGCCATGTACTTTAGTTCTCTTTCCATGCAGATGAAAGTATTGAAGTAGTACAACAACAATTACTACTAACCCTACAACTACTACTAACAACTACTTAACTACTAACAGTACTAATACTAAGAACTACTTAACTATTAACAACTACTACTACTAACCACTACTACTTACTAACTACTACTATTTACTAACTACTACTACTACTAAGCCTACAACTAACACTACTAACTACTACTAACAACCACTACTACTTACTAACTACTACTACTACTAACCCTACAACTAACACTACTAACTACTACAACTAACACTACAACTAACACTACTAACTACTACTACTAACACTACAACTAACTACTACTAACACTACTAACTACTACTACTACTAACACTACAAGGGTAGGGCTTACCTTGGCGGCAAGAACGGCAAGAGCAAGGTCATGCATTGACAGCATGGGGATGACCCTTGTGCATGAGGATCAGCAGGCGGTCGGGCAGTGCGCGAGGATCGATGGGCGGTCAGGTCGGCACCTTCCTCTTCTTCCTCCTCCCCCATCTCTTTCTTCCTCTTCCTCCTTCCCCTTCTCTTTCTTCCTCTTGCTCCTCTCCTTCTCCCTTGCTGGTCGGGCCTTGAGGCACGGGTGGGGGCCGATGGAGCTCGGGGCGTCGGGGCTGGGGAGCTTTGGGGCGGCTGGTCGCTGTCCCGGGGAGCTCGAGCCTGGGCGCCGGGCGAGCTCTGGGCGACGGCCGGGACCCGGGCGTGGGGGCGGGTGGTCTTGAGGGCCGCGCGCTGAGCACGGTCCCCGGCACGGCAGCAGGGCCGCCGGGCGGGCGCGAGGTGAGCCGAGGTGCGGGGCGCTGGCCGGGTGGGGAGGGGCGGCAAGGCTGGGGTGAGCGCCACGGACGGGGCGGGGGGGGGTCGGCGGCGTGGCGTGACAACGATGGGCGGGTGGGAGACGAGTGAGGAGGGTGGGGTTGGGCGGCCCATTCTGGGCCTTTAGGTTGGAAGATTTGCCGAGTGCCAGGCCCAGCGGCACTCGGCAAAGGTTTTTTTATTTTTTTTTAAAAAAAATTCTTTGCCGAGTGCCAAGGTTGGCACTCGGCAAATTAAATTTTTTTTTTTTGCCCCATTTTTTTGGGGCCTTGCTACAGTAATTAAAACTCCATTTCAAAGTTGGGACAATTTTTAGTTTTTTTACTTTATTTCCTTAATTAGTTTTGTTTCGTTGAATTTTTTCGACTAATTCAAATTTGAACTGCAAGTGCATGGAATATTGTAATCTAGTGCTTCGAAAAATGTTATTCATGGTATTTGGTGTATGTTGAGTCTCTATCCACGAACTCGCATCAAATTTCGCGCATCTTCTTGGGTTTTATGCATCTGACGTCGCAACTTGCTCTAAACATTCTCAATTTTTTACCACAGCCTACACAAGCGATAACATGATGGCTCGACAAGTTTTGTGATTTTCAGACTTCGTATGGACTTTATATAATTTTAAAACACTTTTCCGGCAAGTGGCTCGTCATGTTACGTGAAGAAGATGCGCGAAATTTGATGCGAGTTCGTGGATAGAGACTCAACATACACCAAATACCATGAATAACATTTTTCGAAGCACTAGATTACAATATTCCATGCACCTGCAGTTCAAATTTGAATTATATATAAAAATTCAACATAATCAAATTAATCAACCAAATATAACAAAAAAACTAGAAAAAACACCAAATTTGAACATGAAGTTGTAAACAATGTAGGCGGGCCCAACAAAAAATTTGGGGTCAAAAAACAAAAAAAATGAAAATTTGCCGAGTGCCGACTTGGCATTCGGCAAGCTCGTCTTTGCCGAAAGTCTTGACCCAAGGGCACTCGGCAAAAAAAAAATTTAAAAGAAAATTTTCAAAAGCGGTTAAAAAGCCTTTGCCGAGGGCCTAACGGTGATGCCCTCGGCAAAGATTGATGAGTGGGGATGGCCATCATCGTGTCGCGGTGTTGCCGAGGGCCGGGCCTTTGCCGAGGGTTTAGCCCTCGGCAAATAATTATTGTTGTTGTGTGATTGGCTTTGCCGAGGGTCTGGCCCTCGGCAAAGAGTCTTTGCCGAGGGCTGTTCTTTGCCGAGGGTCAGGCCCTCGGCAAAGACTCTTTGCCGAGTGCCCGAGCATTTTCCCTCGGCAAATCCTCAGGCCCTCGGCAAAGTTGCTCTGTCCGGTAGTGTATCATTCTAGAATAGAGGAAGTAACGGTTAAAGTGTGACATAGAGATCGTAGATCAAACTGCACCTTTAAAAACAAGATGAAATAATGTGTACTACTCATATCTGTTTCAAATTATAATATGTTTTGATTTTTTTAGTGTATATCTAGGTAAATAGCAAAAACTATGTATTTAGAAAAACAAAAAAGAAGACGTCTTCTAATTTGGAACAGAGGGAGTACGTTGCTGGCTCCTGTGGACCAGCGTAGAGAGCTCCCATGTGCTAAACTAATGAACCATGACTCCATCAGTGACGGCAGATAATGTTGCTGATGTCTTCTATATGCTGCCAACAAAGATAGCCAAAATCGGTAACAAAGTGGCTCCTGCCAATCAGGAGCAGGCAGATTGCCCGCTCATCCGTTGTCGCACATACCAACCTCCAAGCGGGGCAAGGTACTACTCATGAAGAGGATGGGCATCGCGCCGCGGGCGGCACCAGTTTCTTCCGCGTCCGACCGAGCATTCAACGCCATGTTCGGAGGGAACTTGACGTCGAGCGAAGTTGAAGCTCTAGACGAGTTATTCCCGGCGACCAACAACAGGTCTGGTAGGAACTCTTCTAGGACGCTGGAGTAGGATCGCGCAGCCAGCAGCAGAGGCGTCCACCTTCGTAGGTTGCAGCACTGCTCTTAGCTCGATTGTAAACCTTTGATGTAATATCGAAGCTTCGATTTGTTTGCTAGGATAGTCCAGCCCAAGGCTGTAAGTAGGGCCGTCCCACAAATTTCATGGGCCTTTAGGCCAGTAAGACACTAAGACAGTATACACATGGGTACAACGCACTGTTAACAGATCATGGGCCCCTGAGCCAGTAAGACATTAAGGCAATATACACACTAAGATAGATAGTAGATCGGTTAGCAGATCGTGTTACTATAACGCACTGTTGTCTTGCCGGCGTATAGGCTGATAGCATCTACTATACAGTATACACATGGGTACCCTCATGGACCCCCCAGCCTCATGGGCCCATGGGCACCGCACAGGCTGCCCCCCCCCTATAGGACGGGCCTGGCTGTAAGACCTTCGAGGGCGTTCATCAGAAGCATGACGTTTGTATGGTTAAACTCTTCTTCTTAATCACAATAATGCACAAATCTTTTGCGTATTCGAGAAAAAAAGATAGCCAAAATAGTCATAAGAAATGTGAAATATGAAAAAAAAACAATAGTTACATCACAAAGGTGGCACTAATTAATTTTCTGCGGCCACGGTAGCTCGTACGGGAACACCTACTTGGCATTCAAGGATGTCGTCATCTTGTTCGCCCGCTGCAGCTTCAAGGTCTCGACGTTGATGTAGAATAACAAGGTGGAGGAGCGCAAGAAGGCGCCGAGTACCAGGGTTGCCGCTGCCGTCGTGGTCGTGTCCAAGAAACGCCATGACCGCCGCTTTGCCCAGCTGGACTCGATGTTGGCCGCCTGGCATAGATGAACACTCTTCTCGACCGTGCACTCCCATCTGCCATGATGGTCCCTCATGACCTTGAGCACCTTGAGGTCGTCGTCCACCAAGCAGATGATGCACACTAGGGTTCCTGCACCCCCGCTGAAGACTCGGAGGTTCTCCCTGTCTTCCACTAAATCGTCCGGCGCCAGCGGAAGCATAATTGTCGAGAAGTCGCCGGTGGCTCGTCAAGAACAAGTAGTACATGGCCGTTGTTGATGGTCTTGATGCCAGAGAAGAAGATGGATCCCCCGGGCCCCGGCACGCCCCACGAATCGCTGGTCTGTGTCCGGGTTTGCCACATCCGCGCTGACAGTCCACCAGGTCCAGCCGTTATCCCTAGCCGAGAAGACAAATGCCTCGGCTGTCGTTGTGTCATCCATCTTATTCGTGATTAGATACACACATACTGTTCGTTCTTACGATGGAAGTTCTCAACGCTCTCATCCTCCGGGCAGAACAGGATTGGCTGTTCTCACAGTTGGGTAGTAATGCCATCACCTTCAGAGCTTCTTTCTATGCCGATGACATGGTTATCTTCATAAAACCAGCACGGCAGGACCTGCTACTTCTCTCATCGATCATGGAGGCATTCGAGCAGATTTCAGGCCTGAAAACCAATAAAGAGAAGAGCAAAGCCACACCGATCAACTGCTCGGAGGAGGAAGTGCAGACTATAGTGGATATATTTGGCTGCGCTGTAGAGGCCTTCCCCTGTCGCTATTTGGGCGTCCCGCTGTCCATCAGAAGGCTTCACCCACTACTACAGAATGGACTTGTTGTCCCGGCCGGTAACAGCCTTTAGTCCCGGTTACCGCGCCGGGACAACGATCCCGGGACTAAAGGTGGAACCTTTAGTCCCGGGTCATCGAGCCGGGATTAAAGAGGGACCTTTAGTCCCGGTTGGTAACACCAACCGGGACTAAAGGACCTCCAGCCGAGCGAACCTGGCGCACCCTTTAGTCCCGGTTGGGGTTACCAACCGGGACTAATGGTTCACCCTTTAGTCCCGGTTGGTAACCCCAACCGGGACTAAAGGTTCCTTTTCTTTTTCTTTTTCTTTTGTTTACTTTGTTTTCAGTTCAGTTACACGTATTTGTTTAATATATAATATGTTTTTATGTTCGTATTCTACGTTGCTAATATAAATACACGCATGCATATAATTACATCTAATTCTCATCTTGAGCATTATTATATTCGAATAAAGTATGAAACTATATATATTATAGATATATATATATATATATATATATATATACAACACTTTCATAATCTTGTTCTCGAAAATAACGATATCAATAAACATTTAATTTACATCATTTATTCCTTAAGATCAAAGTACAACTCGCCGTTGGGATTTAGCACTTTTTCTAAAAGATATCCTGCTATTGACTCTTGAACTGCTTTCAGATGGTCTTTTTGCATGACCCTTCGTTTCAACCATTCAGTCTTGCATTTGAAATAAAAGGAAAAGTATTAATACACAGATATGTATATATATTCATTTAAAATAAATAAAATTGATATATCACGTACTTCGAGGACATCTTCAAGAGTTCTTCTTTATGTGCGCAGTGATAAATTCACAAACGTAGTATCCACACAAGTTATTACGGTTCTCGCGCCAAAACACCTTTGCACGAGAAGAAGATTATTCTCATCATCTCACACGTAAATTGAAGTACGATATAGTAATTAAACACATGGGGAAGTGTATATAGTACAACTTCTTTGGTATTTCAACTACATTAAGTGGTGCCTTGCAATCCTTGCGATGTTGCCGAATAAACTCTTTCCAAAACCCCAATGCGACTAATAATGTACGATCGTTAATAAATTATGGCAAAGTCTATTCAATAATAGTTGTGCTTGCGAGATCGAAATTACCCCCGGATAATGTCTATCATATCTTGGTATAGTGCCCGTTCTTTTCTCAACGAGTCAAAGATTAGTAACCGACTTGAGTTTAACTCAATGACAATGAGTATCCCGATGAAAACTGCATTGGTTTATACACACACGTACATGCATATAAGTTGTATTGATATTACATAAAATGTGTAGACTACATTATTATTAACACTTACTCAAAGTTGTACGGGAAAAGTATTGTTGTCTTGTCGTCGTCGCTTCACAAAGAACATCATGATATTCTCTCACGTGCTTCAGATACCCATCGCTCCTTGACAATAATACCGGTTTTGAATACGATATATAAGGATCAATGAAGCCAACTTTGGTGTCTTGTATTCTTTGGAGCTCGACATCCGGAATCAGTATATAAATATAAGTTACATGTGAGGATAATTATATACACGCACGCATGGAAGTGAGTTTATTAAATAAAAGTAAGAATCACTTACAAACAAAAGGAGCTAATGATTGATTTGTCCAGAAAGCGTCCATGTGGAATACTTGATGCAATTCTTTGAAACTAATATGTAAGATGTCATCGCCACGGAAGTAATGATGGTCTCTAAATCGACAAAGATCCACTGCTCACCCACCGCCACGCTTTGCATGTACCACTTGTTGAGCAAGTACATTTGCGTATCCAATTCATTCGAGAGTCATGAGGTTGTATGGACTTTTGCCATATTTATAAGTCTTCCGGTATCAACTTCCGTGTTCGGATTGGAGCTTTGCCGTCAATTGATCCAAGGTTAAACCAAGTATCTTTAAAAAAAAGCATTAAGGGCTTGAACCGACACTTCTCCGAGTTATGCGGTCGATAGACTTCTATGTTGGAACCATATTCATTAGCAACAACAAGATTTTGCATTGGTTGCTACATTGTCCGAGCTGGTGGGACATCCTTCCACGATGCTCTTTTCCTTTTCTTATCTGCATCATGTGACTTTACGAGGGAGCGATCATAGTCGATAGTGGCGAAGGCTTACGAAGTTCAATCATCTTTTTCTTGTGAGCATCGACCTTACGCCTCAAAGCACATCTCGTGGTATGTAAAAGTACGGCTTCTCCTTAAGCTTTGCTTGACTCTTGTTTTTGATATCTATAAAAAATCTTTTACTTTTTGTCTTCTTCTTCACTACTATTTGCTCATTAGTCTTTTCAGGAAGTATTTCTTGAGAAATAACTCTTTTTCTCGGGGGTCTTTTGCCGGGACCTTAGACGTCTTTTATAGTGCATCATTTGTGGAGGGGGTGGGGCGGTGTTGGAGATCGGCGTGGAGGCGATGAGGCCGGTGTTGGTGGAGAGACCGTGGAGATGTTGGAGATCGCCAGGAGGCGGTGGGGCGGTGTAGGAGTTGGAGATCGTTGTGGAGGCGATGGGGCGTGTGTAGGAGTTGGTGATCGCCGTGGGGATAAAGTCGTCTCGCCCCCACGACTTTGTGATGAGATGGGGAATGAATGATTAGGCTAGGTCTGGGGAGACCCTGCTATAAAAACAATTTGTGTGTCAATTATTTTTGAAGCCAATAGAAAATTAATGGAAAATAATATTTCATTCACTTTCATTCGTACCTAGGGTGAGGTAGGGAAGCGGTGGCGCCTGGGAATGATGATGAAGCGTTTGCGCCATTGAATAAATGTCTTCTCTGTTTCTCCTAGTGTCTTCTCCCCATCACCGCCTTCAATGTCAAGAGGAACATTGCTGTAACCTTTGAGCACTCTATCGACCGAGACGCTAGCATATCCAGGTTGAATAACTGACCCATGGATTCTTGGTGTCTTCGTTCGGTCTATTGGAGATACAACCCCGACAGCCACCATGATTGATGCATTACCATCTGGAATGTGCAGCTCACATTTTGTTAGAGGCTCGGTAATGTCATCAACAGGGAAGCGCAACCCAGCGTCGTCTTGAATAACTGGCAGCTCCGTAGAAGCACAACTGCTTTTCATCTGACCAACGGGGCTAATGGTGACTCCCGGCGTTGATTGCGATTGCATTTGACTCATTGCTAGCTGCACTTGCCTCTTGATCTCCTCCTGCATTCTTGCCTCAAGAGATTTTTCTCGTTCACGTGATTCAAGCAATGCTTGTCGTGACTCATCAACAAATTGCTCCAATGCACGAATTCGTTCTGCCTCCTCATCCTTCTTTCTCTGGCGGCTTCTGTAGGTATCCTTGTCTGCTGCGAATGCGTGTAGCCACGGAACCGCCCCATAGCCTCTTGTTCGACCACCGTGTTCGGGATTCTCTAGGGCATATGTCAATTCATCCTTCTCTCTGTTGGGCTTGAAAACACCACTATCGACTTCTTCCCTAGCACGAGCTAGTCTCGTGTTGCTCTCTCAATTTTTTGGCCAAAAATTAGCTTGCCAGTGTCTGGGTCTAGGCTTCCCCCATGAGCGTAGAACCAATTCTTCGCGCGTTGAGGCCAGTTCTTTTCTATTGTTTCAGGTATGATTCCCTTGGCAGTAATCTCTGCTTCTAGGTTCCGCCACTTGGGAATAGCACTCCTATAACCACCCGATCCCATGCGATGATGGTATTGCTTACATCGGGCATTCCGCCGATTCCTCATCACACGTTCCTCACTTTGTCTTGAGATGTCTTGTATTCTCTGAAGGCATCCCAATGGGACTCAACTTGACAAACGCCTTAGCATTGAAATTGGCGTAGCATTCTTCAAGATAAACTTTTTATACAATGTCTTCTTCCAACTCTGGAACAATGTTGCCATCTTCTTCATTGTCCAATCCCTCACTAGCTCCTTCAAAGCATCATCGCTTGTAATGTGAAATCTTTGAGTGATATCTCTCCAAGCTAGGTTCTTATCACGATCGGATACAAAACTAACATTAGGAGCGGATATCTTCTCGCTTCCATTCACGAGCACTAATCGGATCCTATCCTTACAATGAACCCACATTGATTGACATATGTCTGAGCATGTGGTCCCAATGGTTTGCCGGTGTCGGTGTCGAATTCTGATATTATGAAACGGCCCTCTAATGGCTTTTTGGCCCTCGGACTTTCCTACTTTTGTCGGTGGTTGATGTAGATCCAGAGACCGGCTACATGAGTAGAAACACAACGATTAACAACAAATATACATACGCATGCATCTATAAGAGATGATAAATAATCGAATATACCTCGCTTGAAATTATTTTCTTGCGCGACAATTTGTTGATCTTCAACCACCGGCATATTCAGGATATCCTCATAATCAATAGAAAGATCGACTCGTGTCATCTACATCCACATTGTGTGCCATGCGTTGATAATATCCGCTATTATGTCATCACTCAAGTTATCATCCGGAGCACCATTTGTATCTTCAAGATAACACATAGATAGAATTATTATGGTACATAACATAAGTACATGTGATAACACATATAGAATTACTAAATCTAATTAAATATAATAACACATAATATTTCATAAGGATAAACATAAGAATTACATAAGGTATAGGCTTTGGAATCGAATCAAAAACACTTTCGATCCAAAAACATGAAAATAAGTACATGTATATATATACACATAGAATGATACAATATATTTTCTCTCTCTCTCAA